GGAAACTGTGGTGCGCCGCCCCCCACCGAGCCCAACAAGGGAATAGGTAACGCTCCATAACAAGAATGGCTTGGCTGAAGACGTTACTCTATTAGTGCTGCCCAGTCTCTATAACCAAGAGTGGTTCTGGACAAGGTGTCTGTCGCCACCCAAGGTTAGCCCTTGCCGCCAAAGGAGTTGAAAAGGAAAGAAGAGAAGCGAGAAGAGTAAAAAGGAGGAGAAGACAAGGGTGAAAGTAGAGAGGGGATAGTAGAAGTGGCGACTAGACTGAATCATCCTGGCCGGGCCTTACCAGGGGTGCTATGTTGCGCTTTTTGGACTCCCAGGAGACTAGGGAGAGGGAAGTGACGTCAACGACACAGCAAGCGCAGATTGGGTGTTGACTTTGTCTTCTTCTGTCAACATCCAATCTGCGTTTGCTCTAGTCGTTGACGTCACTTCCCTCTTCCAAGTCTCCTGGGAGTCCAAAAAGCGCAACATAGCACCCCAGGACTCCCGTCTACGAGAAGCAGGGGCCGAAGTGGTGTATTGCCTTACCCGGGGGGCCCCGAAGGGTCCAAACCTACCCCGGGCTCGGCTCAACCACCAGGATGCCCTTTACCCTGGACACGGGAAAGCCACGCACAGCCATACGTGGGCGGGCGAACCCACATGGCTCGGGGTCCGTGGTGACGCCACTCACCAAACACCTGCTTTCACAGGTGCCCCCTGCGGGGAACTACAAGTTGCTGAACTAAAATGAGTGGCTTCTTTTGTGTTGAGCCGACACAATCCTGTCGAAAGAAGAAGCCGTTCAACGAGTGCCCCTGGAGAATCTCTTCTACAGCTTCCCCACAAAGGATTGTGTGCATTGAAATCACCTAAAATGATGTAAGGCACCGGAAGCTGGCTAATTAGATTGTCTAGCTCCTCGTACTGCAGCTGATATCCCGGGGATATGTACACTGAGCAGACGGTAATCACGCGGTCCAGCAGCAAACGGACAGCCACGGCCTCGAAAGAGGTTTGCAAAGCCACTTCAGTGGACGGGGCCATGCGTCTGCAACCACTGCAACACCACCGGAAGCCACAGAGGCGTTTAACCTACCTTTCCTGAACACTTCGAAGTGTCTAAACACATTTGAGTGACTTTCCTTAAGGTGCGTCTCCTGCAAACAAAAGGCAGCAGGGCGGTGTTCATTTAATAAAAAGGTGATGTCATAATTGGAAAAACGTCCACGACAGTTCCATTGTAAAAAAACAAACATGATTAATGTTAGGCTGTTAGCTTTCCACCAGAAAGTCACAAGCTTCGTGTAATGGTAGCTAAAGCAAAACTAAGCCAGTCACAGGAGGCAAATTTAGTAAAATGTGAAAAGGACATGAATGATGATTTAACGAGTCTGCAAGAAGGCAGCTCCGACCGAACCTTTGGGGGAAAACAATTAAAAATAAAGCCCCAGGCGAGAAAGTCGCTAGTGGTCTTCCGTTTGGTCTATTTGGAAATGCCCCGTCCGACTTTCAAGGGTGTCAGACTTAGGGCCGAGGCCACTGGCGAGGGAGTCGCCGTTACTCCTCTGTCTCGGCTGATTCCTAGGAGTAGGTGGAGCAATGGGAATGAACAAGATATCTTGGTGTCGTGAGGTTAGTGTAGTGACTGAGGATGTAGGATGATGTTCCTGTTGAAAGAGCATACCAGCCTTGTAGAGTGTAATTGTCACTTTGGTGGAACAATTAGTTTTTTGCTCTTGTGCTTGCCCTTGGGGACCTGCCACTCCATGTCGTCTGGGTCAGACGCAGGAGTGGATGGTTCGGCACCCTCCTCCATTGGTTCTACCTCCTGGGCGGATGCTGTTCTAGCCGGTTTAGGGAGGTTCTGGGCACGAGGTGGAAAACCCCGGCCCCGACCTCCACCACCCGGAGGAGCAGAGGTACTGGGCAGGCAGTCACCCAAGCCCACCTGCCCCTGCCCCTTGGGTGCTGGAGGAGTGGCCCAAGAATCGTGCCGCTCCTTGGATGAAGACGCTCCCTCCGAAGAATACGGTCGGGAGCGTGGTCCCCTCTCCTTGGAAGGAGACCGCAAAGCAGTGATATGTGCGGACACAGCCGACCCATCTTGGGTAGGAGAAACAGCCTGTGAGCCCTCTACATGAGAGGGGACTGGCTGCTGCCCCGTGGAAGAGGTACAACTCTCGCTGGAGGAGCATGTAGGCCTACCAGACGAGAGTGAACGCCCAGAAAGCTGAAGCTTCAGCTGGGGTGTTTGGGACTGCAGTGGCTTCCTAGCATCTGGGATGGACGTCTGGGTTGCCACCGCAACCTTCAGTGGTTCAGGTACCCGCTGCACCACCTGTGAAAAGCCGCCCTTGCGCAAAAACGCGAAGCGGCGACGCGCCTCTGGGCTTGAGAGGTTTTCTTTCACTTGAAGTGTAAGAATTTCGCTCTCATCTTTCCACGTCTTACACGATCTGGAGTAAGCAGGGTGGGGCTCTTTGCAGTTTACACATAGTGCGTCGTTGCAACAAGAGTCTGCTGCATGGTCAGTTTTGCCACACTTGGCACATGTCGCTTTGCCGCGGCAGTTCTCTGAGCCGTGTCCAAATCTTTGGCAGTTGAAGCACCTTTTGGGGTTCGGAACGTAAGGACGAACTCTCCAGTAGAGGTATCCAGCTTTCACAGACTCGGGAAGTGTGGTGGACTCAAAGGTAAGCACGATGTGCCTCGTCTTCAGCTCTTGGCCGTCACGACGCAAAAATATGCGCCTTGCAGCTACAACCCCCTGGGCAGAAAGGCCCTCCACTACTTCGCTCTCAGACGCGTCCAGAAGGTCGTCCTCCGAGGTGACTCCTTAGATGGTGTTCAATGTCTTGTGGGGTGTCACTGTAACTTTGTAGTCCGACACACAGTTGAGTGCAAGGAGCGCAGAACTCTGGTGGCTGGTCTCAATTTCTAAAAGCAAATCGCCAGATGCCAGCTTCTTAGCCTTAAAGTTCTTTCCAATCACACCCTCTAGGACCTTTGCAACAAGAAATGGTGACATTTTCGAAAGTTGTTTGTCGCTTTCTGAGTGGAGTACCAAGAATTTTTGGAATCTAGGTGGAGTAGAGTGTGTCTCGTGCGAGGTAGAAACTTCGGTGCGACCCCTTTTCGAGGGTCGATCAAGAGAAGATTTGTTACGCAGCCCAACAAGGGGGTAAATAAGGTGCCATAGCAAGAAAGGCTTGGCTGACACAATTACTCTACCAGTGCTGCCCTGGCACTATACCCTAGTGTGGTTGCAGGGACAGGACCTGTTTTCACTCAAGGTTGGCCCTTGTCGCCTCAGAAAGTGAAAAAGGAGGAAAGAGAGTGTAGAAGAAGAGAGAAAGAGGTGGAAGAAATACTGAAAGAAGGAAGAAGAGGGCAGAAGAGACGACTGACTGAATCATCCTGGTCGGGCCAAGCCAGGACACCCGTCTACGAGAAGCAGGGGCCGAAGCGTCGCCTCGCCCGAGGGGCCCGAAGGGTCCTAACATACCCCGGGCTCAGCTTAACTACCAGGGTCCCCTTTTCCCCGGACACGGGTACGCCACGCACAGCCAAGCGTGGGTGGGCGAACCCACATGGCTCGGGGTTTGTAGTGACGTCACTCACCAAGCACCTACTAGAGTAGGTGCCCCCTGCGTGCGGGTATGGGGGCCCACATGGCTGGGGTCCGTGATGACACTACTCACCAAGCACCAAGCCCACAAGGCGCAGGCGCCCCGTGCGGGGCTCGGGATCCGTAGAGACGCCACTCTCCAAACACCCGCTTTCACAGGTGCCCCCTGCGGCGATGACAATGTCAGTTCGCACGATAAAATAATGAGGGTTAATAGGCTTGACAGGTCACGTGCATGTAGTTGCTTCTTACCCGCACATTTATCGATATTCACCCACCTCTCTGGGTAAACCTACGTCGTACACAAAATCCACGACCACATGCGAGCACATTTCACCCAACACTCTTCATCGCCTGTTCCGCGAGATTCAGTCTAAATAATGACGTGAAAAATACGTGCATTTGCGCCAAGGAGGTTATAAGTACTATAGGAGGGGGTACGTTGCAATATTGGAGAAGCCTATTCTTAAAAAGTTTAAACGATATTGTGCCCAACGTGACCGCTGATCTCTCTGGCGATTGGTGCGCGTGACATGTCACGTGCGAGATGAATGGTTGATTATAGAAGGATTCCTGCAGGCTTGCGCGCGCTCCATCCGGTAGGTTTTATCAGATTGAAGGCTAGACGAAGACTAGCTATGGTCACCTGATGTGGTCATGTTGGGCTGATGAGTGAGGAGAGTAAGGAGGAAAATAAGAAATAAGCGAGGCGTCAAGGGAGCATGGCTTGTAGAGGCTACGCGGCTCAGGTCATGCCTTTTCTTACCCTTCTATCCTCCTTGATTTGCACCATCAAACGATACGTTACAGCCTCGTTTTTTGAGAAGATAACTTTCCATCGTCCACCCGTGCGTGCGCCAGCTCGAGCTGCGGAGGCAGTTCGAAAGGAGCGAGCCGCGAGTCCAGCGAGCCGGTGAACCTGCGCGCATGCGTTGCCTGCGCTGTAGCCCATCGAGCCAAACGAGCGGCTGAGCGAGCCGCCGAGCCCAGCGGCCCAGCCAAGCCTGGCCGAGCAATATAATTGGTGCAATTTTCATTATGGCATAGAGATAGCCTACAAATTTATCCTTGAGATCTCAATGTTGATGAGAGTTTAATTTTTGCTATTGGTCGGAATTTTTACGAACAAACGATACAACGGTATCGTATCATATTTGAGACAAAGTGAAACGCTTAATGATTCCAGAACTGCTGTTTATTAGACTGATTATAAATAATGTATTAGGTGCACTATAGTGCAAGATACGCCAATATAGTAATCCGAAGAAAGTTCATCCATAGAAACTCCAAATATGGAAAAAGCAAATAAAAGAACGACAGCTCTTGACTTCCATTGCTCTTGTGCGCAGGCCTGTGCCGCGCTTTTGGATTCTTCTTTGTGTCAGCGAGGAAGGAACCGCATCTTCCTGACAGCTGGATGGGCCTTCGTAACTTCGAGGGAATCCAGGCAAGGCAGGCGTTTTCCTTCTTCGGGGAAGACAGTAAACTTCTGGAGAAGGCTGGCCACGTACAGGAACATTTCAACGGTAGCCAGCTTGTCCGCTGGACACATCCTTTTACCTGTGGTGGAAAGAATCACACGGAGTCTTGATCACTGCATTCACGGAAAATAAAGTTTGTGGTATTCACACCCCTTGTTCAATACATAACGCTTCAAAAACTACGACACGACTTTCAGTTCATTGACGTCGAACGGACGATACAAACTTACACGAGCGGCTTGATTGTCGAGTGATATAACTTATTAAAATAGCTAATGTGCGCTCTAAGGACTACAGGAAAACACTCAAGGCTTTGTTGACCCTGCTGAAAAAGCTCAGTGTTTTTTTTTCTGTAGATTTGATACGTATATTAGCTATTTAGCAAGTTATATCATGCAGCTTTCAAGCCTCTAATAAAAGTTGCTATATTCAGTTCGACGTCAGTGCACTGAACGTCGATATGTAGCTTTAGAGTCTTATATATGAGACAAGAGGCGTAAGTACTACAACACTCCCTCTTCCTGGGAGTATAGAGGCCACGAAGAGTTGAGATTAAAGGCCCCAAGCACGGTGGAAGAAGTGAGAGGTGTCTGAACGCGCTGCATGCCACGGGGTAAGTGTGTCACAGGTCGCCTCCCATTTCTGACAAACGCCGTGAGATTGCAAAGCATGACAGAGTCTCCGAGAAACTGTACTTATACGCGCACACGGTTTTAAGGCCGGGTGGCGCCCGCGCGAATGCCGCGTGACTGCGTTTTGTGCGACTGCGTGACCCCGAGGGCAGCCCACCTGGGCTGCCCTCGGGGGACCCAAGGGGGCCTACATGGGCAGCCCATATGGACCGCTTTGTGGGGCCCAAAGGGGGCCTAGGAGGGTAGCCTACATGGCTCTCCTTGTGGAGCCCACAGGGGACATAGGTGGGCAGACGACAAGGGCTTTCCTCATGGAACCCCTACATGGGCAGCCCAGTAAGGTCCCCTCGGGAACCATATTCCGTTCAGGGCCATTTCATTATTCCTACGATGTAGGCTATTGTTGTGCATCCCAAATAGGGCGTGCCCCACTTTACCCATGTGCCTACTGGAAAAATATTACCATTTTGATCCTTATATAAATGCTCATTATTTGACCTCTCTGCTGACTCTGCCCCTGTATAGCCGAAGTGGGACCCACGTGGGCATTGAATAAACAGCCCAAGTTGGGCATGCCCACGCGGTGCCCCCGTGGAGCCCACCCCTTTGCTGACTCTGCCCCCGCATAGCTGACATCGTATTCACAATGCATTGGATTGTCAGCCCAAGTTGAACATGCCCACGCAGTGCCGCTGTGGAGCTCGCTTCTCTGTTGACTCTTCCCCCGCATAGCCGTGGTGGGACTTCACGAGGGCATTGAATTGACAGCGCAAGTTGGGGATGCCCGTGTGGTTCCCTCGTCCCTCCTGACTCAGCCCCCGCATAGCCGAGGTGGGACCCACGGGAGCATTGCACGGGTAGGCTATGTTGGGCAGGCCCAAACGGTGCCCTCGTAGAGCCCATCTTTCTCCTGACTCTGCCCCTGCTTAGCCGAGGTGGGACGCACTGCGGCATTGAATGGACAGCCCAAGTTGGGCATGCCCGCCCACTGCTCCCGTAAAGCAAAACTCTCACCTGATTCTGTCCCCGCATGGCCGAGGTGGGATCCACGGAGGCATTTTACGCTCAGCGCCTGAGTTGGGCATGCCCACATGGTGCTCGCGAGAGCCCACCTCTTTGCTGACTCTGGCCCCGGATAGCCGAGGTGGGACCTAGGGGGCATTTCACGGCACACGGGTGGTGCCTAAGCTGGGCATGCCCACACGTTGCCCCGTGGGGCCCACTTCTGCCTACTCTGTCCTCAGGTAGTCGAGGTGGTACCGACGGGGGCATTGCATGGGCAACCCAAGTTGGGCATGCCCACGCGGTGCCGCTGTGGTACCCACTACTGTTCTAACTCTGCCCTCGTATTGCCGAGGCGGGACCCCTTGTGCATTGCACGGGCAGCCCAAATTGGCATGCCCAAGCAGCGCCCCCGTGTACCTACTCTGTACCCACGTAGCCGAGGTGGAACCTACCGGGGCATTGCATGTGTAGCCCAAGTTAGACATGCCTACGCGGTGCTGCTATGGTACACATTAAAGTGCTAACTCTTCCCCCGTATTACCAAGGGGAGACCCTTTGGTGCATTGCACGGGCAGCCCAAGTTGGGCATGCTCAAGCGGTGCCCCATGGGGCCCATTTCTGTCTACTCTGTCCTCACTTAACCAAGGTGGTACCTACAGGGGCATTGCATGGGCAGCCCAAGTTGGGCATGCCCAGGCGGTGCCGCTGTGGTAACCGTTACTGTGCAAACTCTGCCCCCGTATTGCCGAGGCGGGACCTTTCGGTGCATTGCAGGGGCAGCCCAAGTTGGGCATGCCCAAGCGGTGCCCGCGTAGAGCCCACACCGGTGCTAACTCTGCTCAGGCATAGCCAAGGACTGGGGCATTGCGCAGGTAGCCCAAGGTGTGCGCGCCTACGCGCAGACGAAGGGGGACCCAAAGGGGCACTTCATCGGCAGCGCAAGTGAGTAAATCCTCACTCTGCCCACATCTATGCTAATTTTCTCTCGGATAATTGAAGTGGGGCCCACGGCAATATTGCAGTGGCATACATCAACCCACTTTGGCCACGTGGGCCCCACTTTATGTTCTATTTGGGATCTTCCTAACAAGGTTAAAATGTACTACAAGAAGGTTTGTAGCGTCGACATACCTTATAGATAATTATATTGAAAAATTTGTTAAAACTCTAGGCAGCTCGGTTGAATTAAAGTCGTGTTCACCACCAAAAAAACGAAGGTTTTGACGAACATAGCGTACCAACTGAAAATGTGATGATCTGTTCAGGCCTCTTCGCAAGACATGAGCCGTCGGCTGATAGGAACCTGGTCGGGTCGAAATCATCGGGTCGTTCCCAAAGCGTGGGGTCCCGATGAACTGCCACGATATTCGACATCACCAAGGTGCCTTTGGGAATAACGTACCCGTTGAGGATTGTGTTTTCCTGCGGTCTGCAAATTTAAAAGTGGACACAATATTCGCATTATACACTTCCGCACTAGAAACATGTCGTCACCAGTAGACTCTTTTCAGAAGTTCATTAAGCAACTATACTTAACGCATCGCCTCCTGCGCGAAGCGCGTGATTGGGTCCGAATACGAGTGAAGTATTGACGCAGCACTCGGGTCGAGTACGTAGTCGGCCCCGAGTACGCGCCTCGTGGTGACGCAGTGTTCGTGTCCAATGCAGGCTCCAAGTGCATGAGCCAGGATATGCCGGTCTAGGATAATCGAGGCAGCTTCAATAGGGCGCACTTTTGAAAAAGGATATCCTATACACTTTCAGTAAAAAAAAGGGTGTGTACTTACACCCCTTGTCCCATATCATACACCCCAAAACTTCCGTTCGACGTACAGCGCATTGGCGTCAAACCGACGGTACCAACTTTCACGGGAGGCCTGATAGCCGCATGTTACAACTTCCTGAAATAGCTATTGTACATGTTGCTCACTACAAAAAAAAAGTAGCAGTTTTATTTTTGTGTTCTTTGATACCTATTTTAGCTGTTTAATAAGTTATATCGCACCGTTATCGACCCCATGTAAACTTTGGGGCCGTCTGCTGTAGTGCGCTGTACGTCGAACTTAGTGTTTGGGGCGCCTTATACAGGCAAAAGCGTGTATACGGATGTGACACAACCTTATAGCGAGTTCGTTTCACGGCACTCGTGCCCACGCGTGCCCACTCGCAGCGTGGAACGGGTTCGTTTCGGCCGGCACTCCACGAGTGGTTGCACCTTCCGAGTTCGTTTCAGGGCTGACACCCCACGCGTGCATGCACTCGCTGCACCGAGAAAATCGGGAGTGCGCCAAAATGCAATCCCGTCATGCTTCGCTCCGGTGGGGCCGGCGAGGAGAGGGAGCAGACGACAAGGGTTCGTCTGCTACGATGTGTCGCGGAACCGAACGGAAAAAAAAAAGTAGATTTTCTGATAGAAATCGCGTCCCGCGGGCAAGGAAATCAAACGCGAGCTTGAATTGTGAGCGTCTGCTATTTCACGAAGGAAGCAATTGACAACCCGTGATTTATTTGCAGGTTTTAAATCGCTCTGTTGCCGTACAAACGCTGAAATATACCAGTGTGTAAAGAAATGCTCAGAACAAACGCAACAGCGGCCCCCGAGATGTCTATCACCATCCGTGTGCGGGTGAAAAATTTAACATTTGTCGACAAAACTCCCCCAGCAGAAACCTCTGACTGCCCAATAAGCATCAGAGAAAGCTAAAGATAAAGACTTTACCCGAGGATTGGGCAACATCATTATGTTTAACATTTACCTATGTCAGCTAACTTGAGCCGTCGTATTTTGTTCGAGAAAGCTCTCGTTCTCGACGCCTTCACCAAGGCTAATATCTAATCCACCTATAATGACGATCCGAATCGAAAGTCCCAGTTTTGCTGGATATTCCAACAGGCTAGTTTTAAGCCGTACCCTTTCAGTGGTTCACGCATAATACCATGCTCAAACGGATCAAGCTTCTGCTCGGACAGCATCATCAGTTTTCTTCAGTGTAAACGGTTAAAAGAATTGAAAGATCGCAACCAGCTGCTTTGTAGACAGCTGGTTGCGGAAATTTACGCCGTCTGTAATTATCTCTACGGCAGCCTTAAAGTCATCGCAACTATAAACTACAGGTTGCAGCGGGCAACGTTTGTAGATAAACGTTGGTAGCGACAGCATTCTCGCATTCCCACGCATCACTCCGAACAGAAAGGCGCTAGTTTCAGTTTGAAGTCGGTACCTTTTCTACAACATAGATGGCGGCAGCATCAGTCTTCTGCACTCAGTGCATTTGGCGAGTTCGTTTGAGTCCAGTTTTCCGTGCAACACTCTGTGAGTGCGATGCATTCTGGGAGAGAACTCGAACGGTGCCAGTGCGTGTGAAACGAACTCGCTATTAGATAGTTGCATCGAAGTGGGGATAACTTCTAGTGGGTACGCAAGAGTGTGGCGTGAGCCCCTTTAGTAACCACATTGTTACATTTGGTTTTTATATTACTACAATTAGTGTTCCGTGTTTTCTAATAAATCCGATAAAAAACAAAAAAACAACAACAAACTCGCCGTTAAATCTTTTTTTTTTCAGTTCGGATTGATCTGAAAAATTCAAACTGTGGAAATAAGGACTGAAAATAAAAGACAGTTTTCTACAAATAGGCTTGGCCAGAGCACAGGTTCAGCGGTTATCAGGAGAGGTCTCCCCAGATTCCTTAAAAATCTCGTAGCATGCGTCGAGAAAGTGAGGGAGAGGATGAGACGAGATCCAGCGGGGACGGCAAAACGCCGAGCACTGATTGGGGTCATTAGTGGGTAGACCTCAGGCTGGCCAGCTGCCTTTGTCTCCAGTGCGCTCGTCGAAAGCGTTAGAACACGCAATGCCGGCGTCTGGCGTTTGACTATTCGCAACTTTCAGCGATCGTGGTACCGCGATTTGAGAATCGCGCTCCCTAGCTCCTGGATGATCGGTGTCATAATAAATGGGCTTGTCTACACCTTCCTGGTGCGAAACAATAAAGTAAGGCTCCAATACTGCTCGCAGAAAGCAAAACTAGAATTACTTACGCGTCGCAGACCCCGCCTCGCAGTGCTGTTCTACGACGATCATCCAGATGACAGCCATTTTGATAGGCGCCAGTGTGGCTTTTATAGGTCGTGAAAGGTGCGAATAGGATTCGAACGCGTACGACGAGTGCAGTGGGGAGAAAGGCAGCTGGCTTTAGGTCTATGCCCGCTAAAGGCCGACCCACATAAGACGTATTCTCAAGATATTTACCCGCGCTTCAGCGGGCGTAATCACGACATTTGGCGGGCGCTTTTTTCACTGAAGGGAAGAGAGGAAGGTAGCCAAACCAGACACGGCGCTTTTCGTCGACGTCCCCTCGGCGTTTGGTGCACTGCAGCCCGACTCGCGCTTTTCGTGAAACGAAACAAAATGTACATCAGCTGCAATATTTGCGTTCTTCTCAAAGGGAAATAAATAAATAAATGATAATTAACCAGGAAAGCCTAATTTGCCAACGAGTTCCGGCCAGGGGGTGGTCGGTATCTACGCTCAAACCTCTTCCTTTTCAATTTGGTTTCACACCACAAGCCACATAAATGGCCTTTTATTCTTTCTCAGTCGTTCATCGTTCGTTCCAAAGTGATACAGCGATTTGGTACAGTTCGCCAATAAACCGTTGGACGCGAGAAGTGAGCGCCCATCTTGGCGTGTCAGTCGAGCTTGCCAGCCGGCCGCAAAGGCAAGCCGATCCTCGAGCAACCTTCAGCTGTCAACTCCCGGATACTGCACGTCAAAAATACGCCGAAGCGCCGAGATCTGTCGATCAGTTCGCCGAATATGCGGGTATTTACGCCAGCCTTGAAAAGTCGACGAAGTGCTTAGGCCCTATGGTACTCTCCCAACCAGAGCTCGGCATTCTGATATCCCCGCGCTCTCTCGTCTGCTTCTCTCTCCTAGTTTTTCGGCGCATTAACAAAATAAGAACCGCCGTTTATCCCGCGAAAGTTCGTTCAAGAAAACGGGGCAATGCCATTCTGAGTCAGGACTCAAATCACTGCTTTGGCTTCCAGATTGAACTTCTGAGAAGATGGTAGAGTTGTGATTTGATAACCGTGAAAGCTATGAACTCTTAGATGTTATGGAAGAGACAGTTGAGGCTTCTACACTCTAAGAAAAGTCCGTGCGTCTACCTTCCCGCACAGCACTCGGAGCGCCAATCACCGCAACTTACGGAGGCAGCTCAGTGAATGAAGATGCCGAAACGTGTGTTGAGACTATAAAACGCAGTCTGAGTTGGGACATTAAGCAGTGCAAAACGTCACGCTTGCATTGCTTAATGTCACAACTCAGACTGCGTTTTTTAGTATAAACAAATGTTTCGGCATCATCATTCGCTGAGCTGCTTCTGCAAGTTGCGGTGATTGGCTCCCCGAGTGTCGCGCGGGCAAGTAGACGGATGTACGTTTTTTTAGAGTGATATGTCTTACCACTTCACCCCTTGCAGGCAAAGGAAGGAGCGTAGAATAGGATGAAAAAAAAAAGACAAGCTTTCCAACGACTACGCCAAGGAGTTCAGTGATTTTAATGTCTCTATCACGTTTTATCGAAGGGCAGTTAGTATTACAGCAAGGGCGCCAATGTCACGTGGTATACGTGCGCTCTTATACATCTAGGGCAGGGTTATACCCGCCGGTTAATGGACATTTTTATTTTCAATCTTCAAAATTTGGAAACACCAAAAGTAAACTCCCTACTTCAGAAAATTAAAAATCTAGAAAGTTAAAAATTCTAGAAAAAATGAACTCCGGAAAACACCCTCAAAATATCAAGAGAAATAGATCCCGAAAACCAAAACCCCAAGCCAGCTACGGCAGTTATTGTTTATATGATCGTAATACCAGTCCTCGTTTGTCGTAAAAAAAAAAAAAAAAAAAAAGCAGGCACGTAAAAGATTAACAATTTTTTTTCCTTATATGCACGCCAAGTGATTACTTGACGACTCCTGTGCTACGCTTTTGGTAAGTCAATTACTTTGAGGTTCTGAAGATCTGCTGCGAAAAACGAGGCATAGAAGTTGTTTTTTCTTTTCTTCTGGGCCTCGCCATTCTCAAGGTGCCATCCGTACAGACCCCCTTAATAAGAACCCGGTTAATGGAAATACCGCGCTATATACGCATTACTGGCGAAGGACTGGATAAATACATGCAGTTTTTTTTTTATTTGGATAACTCACATTGTTGTTGATGTTTTGAGGAAACAGCCGTAGGTTTCCGTATTAGCAGGATATGAATGCATCTCTACATGCTTTGCCTTTAGTGTGCTCAGAAGTTGAGCGCACTTAAAGCTTAAAATAAAGTATTGAAAAAACGTCTACAATAATGCATGTCAGGTGTTTCTGTCTAAAAAGAAACAGTGCCAGGCACTAATAAAATCTCAGTACCCACAA